TCACATAACTTAAGAAGTGGAGTCATTTTCAAGCTAAATAATGTGTCAGCAATGTGTGAATCACAAAATGAACAGAAATATAAACAATGTAATAGGTATAACATGTCACAAATAGCAAAAGCTGCTCCTGTTATGCTTAAATAATTAATTAATGTAATTAACCACTTGCCATCCCGAGGATTTACCCCCTTAATGACCAGGCCTCCTTTTGCTATTAGGCCCTGCATGATTTCAACTGATAATTGCGCAGTCATGCAATGCTGTATCCAAACAAAATTGATGTCCTTTTTTCACACAAATAGAGCTTTTTTTCAGTGGTATTTGATCAGCTGTGCGCTTTTTATTTTTCAAGCTATAAACAAAAAAAGACTGAAAATTTTGAAGAAAAACAATATTTTTTAGTTTCGGCTATAAAAAATATATAGTAAACTCAAATTTAGTTATAATTTTATGCCAAAAATGTATTCTGCTACATGTTTTTGGTAAAAAAAAATCCCAATAAGTGTATATTGATTGCTTTGTGTGAAAATTATAGCGTCTACAAACTATGGTATAGATACTGCAGTTTATATCCCATTTTCTTGCTATACAGAGCTGCTTTAGTTTAACGGACAATTGCGCGGTCATGCAATATGGTACATAAATGAAATTTACATCCTTTTTCACAAAAATAGAGCTTTCTTTCGGTGGTATTTGATCACCTGTGCACTTTTTCTTTTTGGAGCTATAAAGAAAAAAAATTGTGAAAAAATATTTTTTAAAAAAAAAATTTCTGTCATAAAAAAAAGTCCACAAAATTCAAATTACATCATACATTTAGGCCAAAATGTATCCTGCTACATGTTTTTGGTTAAAAAAAATCCCAATAAGTGTATATTGAATTTTTTTTGTAATTTTTCAAAAACTTATGGTAAAAAAAAAAATTCTTCTATTGACTCAGCATGCCTCTGAGCAAATAGTTTGGGGTGCCTACTTTCCAAAAAGGGGTTGTGTTGGGGGGTGGGGGCATTTTATGCCCAGCATTAGAAGTTTATGCCACTCATCATTCTCTCATCTAATCAGCTGAAGACCAAGCCTTTTCTGACACTTTTTGCTCACATGAAAAAAAAATCAGTATTTTTTGCTAGGAAATTACTTTGGATCCCCAAACATTATACATTTTTTAAAGCAGACACCCTAGTGAATAAAATGGGTGGGTGCTGCAATTTTTTATATCACATAGTACTTGTGCAGCGATTTTTCAAATGCAATTTTTTTTTTTAAACAATGCAGTTTAAATAGATACCAAATACATAGATAAAATAGATACCAAACTTGACATGTTTTAAAACTGTGCATGCCCCGTGCATGGCAACAAATTGCATACATTTTTAATATACATAGGCAATGCTTTAAAAGCCTTTACAAGCTTTCATTTTAGATTTACAGAGGAGGTCTAGTGCTAGAATTACCCTTGATCTGACTTTCGCAGCAGCGATACCTCACATGCTTGGGGCAACCACTGTAAACATACCGACACAGGGTCAAAGCCTCTGCACACAGGTGCACGTGGGTGAAGGTGCTTTTTTTATAAGCTATTTTGATTTTTTTAATTATTTTTACATTGTCCCTTTCATTTTTTTTAATCACTTTTAATGCTATCACATGAAATGCAAATATCCCCTATAACTTCAATGGGCATTGTCATATATTCTTTTTTGAGAAAATATGGGGTCTAGCAGACTCTAGATATCTCCTCTGCCCTTACATTATCTAATCTCACCAAGGTCAGTGTGATCAGATGCTTTTGCAATTTACAAATGGCACTGTTTATATCCTGCGAAACCGAAGTGATGAAATGCTCGTAGCTTCTCATTTCTTAGACTATAGAGATGATTGGCACCAGTACAGTCTTCAATCTGGTCTATGGTCAGCTGGCAGAAACACTGGCTGCATTCTTAGGTTCCCCCGATGGTACGGGACTAATTAGCCACTAGGATTGCTTTTACATGAAAGCCGATCAATGGCTGAAAAAAACGATACCAGGATGATGCCCGTAGCCATAGGCATCATCCAGGTATACCCATTCAAAGTCCAGTGATGTTCCAGTACATCGCTGGTCCTTGTAGGGTATATAATCTATGTTCTTTTTTTTTTGTATGCAGCCTGTGGGCTGAATGAAAAAACAGAGAAGAAATCTCTGTTAGAAAAAGTGTGTGATATGCCCACCATTAGAACATACCGCCCTGCATCCACCCACTTCCAATGGTGGGCACACATTAGGTCACACGGTGCCACATGTGCCAATTCCAAAATTGTACAAATGTCTAAATAGTGGCATGCTTGAATACTTGTCCACTTATAAGTGGTACCATATATGAAAAAAGGTGACACCAAGTCCCAAACTATCTTGCCACTGCTCCCTATGTAGTCTGGACATCCGGGGGCTCTACGTGACTATATTTTCTCTTGTAAATCCAAAAACTTATGTATAGCTTGTTGCCCTGTCACAGGTGTAATACATCTTGATCCCATATCTGGCACGCTGGCTGGGGAGAAATTGCTTGAATGCAAGGCGGCCAGAAAAATTAATGAGAGAACTCATCAATGCAGATTTTTTGCTGGGAAGTATAGACATCAGCAAATTTTTGGTTAAGGTGATTTATGAGGGGCCAAATTTTGTGGAGCAGGTCAAATTCAGGGCACCCTGAGGATGACAAAGTGTATTGTTGTTGAAATACATAAAACACATTATACTCTCATATCTATGCCTGGCCATGGCAGCAGAGAACACGGACATATGATAAAATCGGGCCTGTGGACCAATACAACCGCAATTCATTATTTTTTAGTAATGCCCATGTTGAGGGTTAGGCCCCCCAAAAATGTAAATTCGGAAACCGTAATGGGTTTCCATGCAAATGGTCTGGCAAGGTTTGAATTTGGGTTGGCGGTGATAAGTTGTGCATATAAATTGCTTCGATCCACAATCAATGCATACAGATTGTTCTTGAAAAACAGCTCCAAAAAATCAAGGGTATCAGTTAAATTTGCTGTTTCGACCTGAATTCTGGGTTGGGCAGTGAATGGGGAAGTACTGAATTTGCAATCACATCCAGAAGGATACTAGGGGCTCTACGGGCCTGTGTGTGAATTCTTGGTGGTTATGAGACAATACTTGTGCTGGCCAGCGCACAAGCTTGTACTGTACTTATGGGACTCACCACGTAACCAAGTGATACTGCAGAGCTGGTAGGTGAAAGACCAGGATGTACTAGGCTGCAGGCCTGATTCTGCGAACACTGCGGTTTTGTGTGCAATTTATCAAGTGACAGTGACTTACTGACACTGCACTTGCTGGGGGAGAAGGGGGGTAAGCGTAGGGCTAAAACGCAGGTGTCGGGGCTGATCCCGCTAACGCTGTGTTTTTGGGGACACTGTACTAATGTGAACGCTGGTATAGTGCTGATCTGATCAAAGATATTGATCCGTTCAGACACTATACTAGCAAAGGGGGTTTATTGTGTATGAGCATGTTCCTGGCAATCAAAATGTTAAATGTGATTACTGGTGTATTTACGGGCAATCTGATGCTATCTGGGAGGGGGCGTGAAAACCACGGAAGCACGAATCACGTATATATACATGGTTTTGCGCACCCGTGCTGCCCTGTAGCAGTATTTCTGCTATAGGGCAGTCAGGAAGCAGTTAAAGAAGCGGTTTGCATTTGGCGCTGCGTTGATTTAACTGACAACTACGTGGTCATGCAACGCTACACCCAAATTAAATGTATGTCCTTTTTTTCCCATGAATTGAGCTTTCTTTTGGTAGCATTTAATTGCTTGTGCGTTTTTTATTTTTTGCGCTATAAAAAAAAAGACCGACAATTTTGAGAAAAAAAAACTATATTTTGGACTTTTTGCTATTAAACATGTCCAGTAAAAAAAAAAACTTAAAAATCAAATTTCATATTCTGCAACATGTCTTTGCTAAAAAAAAATCCCAATATGTGTAAATTAATTGGTTTACGTGAACGTTATAGAATTACAAATGGATCCTGGATTGTGCTCAGCTGTCAGTTTGACTATTTAGCTATTCCACAACCAGGATAGACTATATATGACTAAGCACGTTTTTGCATGAAACGCATTAACTTTTCTGTTTTTGCATGAAGATTCAATAAATGGAAGTTTTACCTGACACAACACATCTATGGAGTGCGGTTAACCATCATTGCTTTCATATGCCCAAACTTCTTGCCAAATAGATAAGATTTTGAAATTATCTGCAGCAAATGAAGAGTGATCAACTCCACAAACCAAAAACAGCAAAAATCATCCACCATCATCAAGATTAACCAGCAGAGCTCAAAAAATGTAATGGTAATGTCATGGAAAGAGCACAAGGAGAAACCACATTGTGTGATACCATTTAAATCTGACTTGAATCTTTGTGCAAACTTCTGGGAAAATCAGTGAGCCAATCACACAAGCAGGAAATTACATTTCTGGGGGTGTTCTGTACAACAACGGTGTACAGAAAGTCTCCAGGTTGCCATAATGCATTGAATTTTACAGAAAATTACAGTGCTGCAGGTTGAAAAGGAACGGCCATTTTTATTAACATTCAATAACAATATGGCTTGTGTAGTAAATGTATATGCTATAATATTTTTTTATTTGATACTTTCTCCAGTGAAAATTGGGCTTAATTCATGAAAACTAATAGAAACTACAATAGAGGTAAAGATATAAAATAAAGTGCAGTGCTGTGAAACAAAGGACTGGATGGAGCTTGTAGTCAGAGAGAGCTATCAGTCCAGCAGGCTGTTCTGTTCTTCACACAGTTGACTGTCTCATTTAGGAAAAATAATGAACCAGCCCTGGATTAGCAATGAGTATGAAACCCCTTGAACCAAATCTCAGATACTCTGCTGGCCTGACACCTGACACCGAGTCTCGACTATATTCCGCTGTGTATTTAAACTTAAAGAAAGGGTGTTTCTCGGCTTCAGAGAGACTTAATATTAGTGCAGGAAACACTGTACCCTTTAATTTAAATGCCCTTGGAGTCTGCTGGGGAAGAGAAATAATACTGTCAAGTCCAGTATGACATGCAGATGAGTGCGTCGATTTTGAATCACCGCAAAACTTCACTCATTTGGCCAGGTCACGGGGCCTCAAAAACCAGTGTTTGGAGACACAGTGTGGCGGTGGTGGCAGCAGCAATGGGAGGCCATAAAGCAACCTTGGACAAAATGGAAACCAGCGGAGTGTGAGGAGACCTAAAAGTCACATGGCAGAGGGGGAGCAATGGGAGGGGGGTACAGGGCCCCATGTCCAGTGGCCCAGCCGCGGTGACAAGGCGGTACGGGGGCCCATGGCGTTTGGGGCCGGGCGAGACCCTATGGGGGGCCTGAATCGCCAGCAACCTTGAAAAAATGGAAACCGCAGGGTGTGGGAGACCTCAAAGTGGCACGGCAGAGTGGGGCAAGGGAGGCGGTCAGGGACCCATGTCCTGTGGACCAGAGCGCGTAAATAGGCGGTACGGGGGCCCTGGAGATTACGGCCCGGCAGCAGAAGGGAGGCCCCTAAACTGCCGCACCCTATGACAAAAAAAAGGAACACACCGCGTGTGTGAGGGACCTGAAAGTGGCACATGGCAGAGTGTGGCGATGGGACAGCAGCATTTGGGGGGCCCTACAGGGACCCATGAGGACTTGGACCTGGCAGCCGATGGGAGGCGGTATAGGGGGCCCCTGGGGGATTGGGGCCCGGCGAAGCTTAGGAGGCCCGTATCTGCCAGACCCTTGTCAAAAAAAATTTAACACACCAGCGTGTGAGGAGACCTGAAAGTGGACATGGCAGGTGGGCGATGGGGAAAACAGCTTGGGAGGCCGTACGGGCCCATGACAGGGCTTGGACTTGGGGCAGCATGAGGAGGCGGTATAGGGGCCCCTGCAGATTGGGGGTGGCGAGCTATGGAAGGCCGTAAACTGCCAGCACCATGTCAAAAAATTCAAAACACCCGCAGTGGAGGGACCTGAAAGTGGCCATGGCAGAGTGTGGGGTGGAGGGCAGCAGCAAGGGGGGGCCGTCAGGGACCCATGACAGATCGGACTTGGCGCGCATGAGGAGGCGGTAAGGGGCCAGGGGAAATTTGGGGCCTGGGAGCAGATGGGAGGCCCCTAATCTGCCGCCCCCTATGTAAAAATTGAACACACCAGCACTGGGGGGGAAACCCGAAGTGGCACATGGCAGGTTGGCGATGGAGCAGCGAAAAGGGAGGCAGTACGGGCCCTGAGAGACTTGGACTTGGCAGCAGCATGAGGAGGGGGTATAGGGCCCATGGAGATTAGGGCTGGCGCAGCTATAGGAGGCCCTAATCTGCCAGCACCCTTTTACAAAAAATTGAACACACCGCGTGTGGGAGACCTGAAAGTGGACATGTTTGGGGGGATGATTCATGGGGATTTAGCGTTGTGTAGGAATGGTGGTTTTAAATTTCCCGACTAATCACGCCTGATTCAAATTTTTACAAACGTGAGTTTCCCCCAACTTTGGGTGGACAGTGTGTCCTCCCCGGAGTTGAATACCCCCCCCGCAAAAACCGCGCTCCGAGGGCCCCGTATGGCCCGGGCATGCAGCCTTTTTAAAGGGGAAATTCAGCTAGTTTTG